TTTTTAGAACTTTTCTAAAAACAAATATTGCCACGAGGCTCAGCATGATCGATTACCTATAGATCAAAATCCAGGGTTTTTTGAAAAACCTCGAGCACAATCCAGAATCACTGGGAGTAATTGACGCTATGGTCCATGGTAGAAGACACATAGAGGAATATTTGGCGAAAGGTTGAGCTCGATTGGACTTTAGCTGTTTGTAGCGTTTACAAAATACAGAATGATGCATTTTTGATACTCGATTTTAGTGTAGTAGATTTTTTTTTCTGTAGCAATTTGAGTTCAATCTAAACGATCTTTTCATTAAAATGGAGCTCATAGGTTAATAATTCTTTTCAGATAGTTTTTCAAATTAAACTACTCCAATAAGTTGGCCGAAAATTAACTTTATCTGAGGAGGGCGATTTTTGAACAAATTTCTTAGTATGTGTTTTTCCAATGTTCAACTTAAGTTCTGAAAGTGCTATTTCAGGACAAGATAGATCAAAGACAGAACTAATTATTCCAATGCTTAAACTTTGAAAAATAACACTTTCGTTTTATGTCCGCCTGGTTGCCCACTGTGTGGGCATTTAAAGAACAATCCGAATGGAATGGAGCTCACGTTCGATTTTAACGATGAGCAAAGTCGGTGGATGAATTCTGATGCCTCTATCATGCTTGTTTTTTTGTAACATCTTCGTTCAATTTTTCATCAATAGACGAGAAAATCTTTCGCAGTCCGAATTGTTTCTATAACCAATGAAATCATCTTGGCACTAGCCCAGTTATTGATGGCTTAGTTCTGACTCCAATCTAGATGTTGATGTCATTGTGTGCAACTGTGTTCCGCTGTCCTTATGCTGGTATTTGAAAAACAAGTTATGTCATGCTTCTCCAGCTTGCAGTAAAAGTTTTCTTTTTACTTTCCACGTTTGTTCAGTAAAAAGCAAAATGTATATCGCACATCAAATAGTAATGTTAGCAATCGCTTACATTCAGTGCTGAGGTGCTATCAGGCTGACCAGGGCTTATGGTTCTTCTAAGCCTGAAAAAAATGATAACAGGGAGCTTCGCGTTAGGATTTATAGACAACTTTCTGAAAACGATTTTGCTCATTTCGTTCTAATGCAAAACAAAATAACATATGCAGAGCCGCAGAACCTACGGCGGACTAAAAAAAAGTTAAATGAGGTATCTCCGTTGTTTTATCCTATGTTCCTGGAGTTGTTACTGTTAAACTTGAGCATGTTATGCAAGATAAAGAACCCAACTGATTAGACACCTGGACAGTTCAGAACGTCAACTGCCGAAGTAGTGTTGACAGTTGAGAGCGAAAACGGCTACGACTACACTCCTTTTTCAAGAAAAAGCTAAAAGAACAAATGGCAGCCATTTGGTTCTTTTAGCCTTTTCTTGAAAAGTTTCTATGACTCGTCGAGGAAAATCGTGTTTTGTATAGGTCACTTCAGACACGGATGAAGGAAGAGTGTGAAAATGATTCATTACGCTCTGTTGGAAAGCGAAATTGTCCGACTCAATTTTAGATACGCATGAAAAAGCACATTTCAGATTGGGTGTGTCACAAACTAGGACAAGTCAACAGCAAACGGCATTTATGGCAATGCGAGTGCAAATCGTATTCGTCGTGTCGGGTACTTTTCTGGGGGTGTCACCGTAGCGGTTTTCCCTTCAGTTGACGTTCTGAGCTGTCAACGGTCTTCCATTGACTGAATAACAGTTATCTAAGGTTATTAAATGAGTGAAATCTTCATTTTTTCTGGTAAAGATCTGTTGTGTATCAAAAATGTTCGAGAAATTTTTCGGTATTTTGCGTTTTTACTCTTACTCCTGCTCACAAATGTGAGAAAATAAACATTGACGCTGAAAATATGTCATCGCGTTACCTGCGGACAGACCGAAGATTATTTTAAAGGATAAAAATTTATTAATATCTATTGAGTTAGTAATTGGGCTATTGTTGATTGTGATATCTATGTGTTAAAAAAATGATATGTAATAATATAAAAGAATGACATAAATAAATTGAAGAGGTTAAAAGTTCAAAAAAAAATTTATATGAAATGAATGTGATTCTATTTCATTTTATTCTAAGTTTCCATTGCCTTGGTGACAACTCTGTGCTCTAATTCTTGTCGACACGCTCTCTTGAGGAGTTTGCTGGAAATGTTTTATAATAAGAAAGTAAAATAAAACACATCATTTCGTGATTTCATAATGTTTGACATTAAGATAGTAGGCCGTTTCATATGTCGTAATGTTTGAACGAGTGATACTGCTTCATGAATAGTTTACAAAGATTGAATCCGATTCGTCAGAGAGTTTGAGACAGATTTAAAACGCATGTATGCATGTAATGTGTAATATGAAAACTTTAGTTCTGTGTTGTTAATGAATGAGTGAATCCTTATATGGGGATATTTCTACGATTTAACGCTATACGAAACAATATCGCGATGATGATGGGTAAATATTTATCGCAACCGAATGAAACATTGTTTTACATCGTGATAAATCATAGAGATAACGCGGTAATAACTTACATCGCGATCTCTGGGAACCATCTGTTAGAGTACGACGTAGAATTATTCTCGGGATAAACAATGAAGATATCGCGATAAGCACCATTATCAACGCCTTTATGGCGATATATCGGTGATTGCTCGGTTTAAAAATCCTCAAGAAATGTAACGGGATGTGATTATTCAAATTCCATTTCACCAATTAACATGAAATGGAATTTGAATAATCACATCCCATTTCATATTAATTGGTGAAGAATATTTGGAAAATCAACTACTGGCAACTAGATTGTATACTCTTCCCCTAAGTATCTCCGCTAATGTACTTTTTTTCTACATTCGATAGGCAAAACTTCAGAGTATCTTTTCCGAAGCAAACGGATTTTCGGAAAAATGTTCGTCCGTCTTCCACACAATCTTTGAGAAACCAGCTTGATTTTTCCGAAATTCAAATTGGAATCTGTTGATTTTTTGTTCGAAGCATATATAGTCTGAAGTGTCCTCTACAAAATGACTTTAGATCTGCTTTATCTTGAAGCAAAACGTTTTTTCTGTTACATCCAAACAGAGAAAGTCAAATAGCCCCTTTTCGTTTCCTGTGCTAAGGCGAAGAAATCAAATTTTCCCTTCGTTTTTACTTTTAGTAAAATCTTTGTTCGATACAGGAAAAAAGGTTTGTAGCGAACTTATGATACAAGAAAAGGAAGCTTATATTCTGGAGCACCAGAAAATACATTTCGATTCAACTTTGATGCATAGGTTTGAAAGTAAATCGATATTAAAACTCTTCCGTATTTCCTTTATATTTTTTTATTCTTATAGTATATAAAGAAATATTCAGTATGTCTAGTGTAGAGAATTGAATGAGATTTCTTTTTAAGAAAAGATTGCGACTTGTCGATCAACCTTGACCGAGATATTGGGAAAAATCGCTGGTATACGAAAAATCTTTGTCATTAAATTCGAAGGAACATGTCAATATGTTTGTATTCAAATGAAACTATTGGATCATCCAATATTCAATGTACTCCAACCATCTTGATGGCTTATCGATTATGAACATTGCCAACAATCCAAATCAATAACAAAAGCTGTTAACATATAATAACTTTTGTGTTTTGCAAATGAAAAATAATCTAAATCTTACATTTTGTGGTACTAACTGAGAAGTCTTTGGAGAAAAATTTCCCAGTACCATTTTTACAGCAGCGAAGAATTTACGTTTTTTCGCAAAGCCTTAGAATCCCCAAGCCTATAGTTCTGAAAACTCGCCGTTATTGACGGAAACTGATAAGTGTTATATACCATTCAATAGGTCTCAGGGGAACCAGTCTAACGATACATGTGCGGGATTTGTGCCGCCAAATACTCGATTTTATTGTTGATCCAGATTTTCAGAAAAAAAATGTTACTACATTTTGTAGTAATTTCGATTTTCTTCTTAACGAAAAACTATTTCAAGTTGATTTTTCCAATTTGTTTTTATCTATGAATACCACTTGCAATAAAAATTTGATGCAAAAATGTGGAACCTAGACAAGGACAGGGCTGAAGCTGTCCGGGAAACGTTACACTGCAAAATGTGAAAAAGACGACTTTTTTTAAGAAAGTTTCTCTTAATTTCCTGCGAGTAGAAAATGAAACAAACTTTTTTACTCTAGTGCTCCCCTCTAGTGCTCTCTCATTTGACTAATCGACTTGGAAAATCCCATGAACACACCTATCGAATAACTGCTAACATTCAACTAATTGAGTTAGCATTTGTTTTACTTGATTAATATTACCTCGAGCACAAGCATTACAATGATCAGAAAGCTGATGATCTATTCCGTATTATTATTATTTATTTGCAAATTAAAGACATCTCGATATCTAGGCTGATCTAGTCGCGATACATTCAACATAGATTAACGACAAAAAAAGGCGAAAGAGGACAATAAACTGCAAGCTAAGGCTGAGACGCTGTTCACAAATCTAAAAATGCCTCGGGATAGCAGAAAAAAATTTGTAATTCGGGTTTTATAGTTCGAAAGCACCGTCGGAAGAAATTAAAGGAATGACGGTACGAAATCAAAAATTCCGTGGAAAGAGAAAAAATATGCCGATATCGACGTATTAATAGGCTTTTTTGTTGATTAGTGGTACTAGAATCTAAAATTGTTTTGTACTTGTGCCATGTTCGAATTAGTGCCACCGAGTCAGTCAAGTCAGGCAGCACTAGTAAATATTTTATCCAGTAAGAAAAAACGCGGTCCAAAAAAGTTCTTTCCCCCGATATTGAAAAAAAATCGATGGTACTTAAATAATAACACCCGTAAACACGCTTCAAATAAAAGGCAAAAAGGATGCAAATTCGTTCTTGCTGTCGAGAAGTAAAATAAAAGAATAGTGGGATGATCCAAACAAAATACGGATAAACAAAAGCAAAAAAAGCTCGACGACGGAGATTAATCGAAAACTGTTGATATCGTACGAAATTCACGGACACAATTTGAAAAGATGAAAAATCTGAGAACATTGAAGATTCAAAAGCTGGCCAAGACCTAATTTTGATGTTATTAAATAATCGAGATCAGTGAATTTATTAACAAATTTGATCTCATGTCCATTATAAATCAACTTCAAAGATGGAACTTGAATCTGTGAGTGAATCAACATCGCAACCGTTTTTGTCACACTCAACTCAACCAACCAATATTCACAATACACATGAATTTTATCGAACGCCTCTTGTCCTTGTCGTTGCAACAAAGTACATGAAGTCGAAAAAGATAAACCATACGGAACAGAGAAGAAAAGACTCCAGTCATCGGCAAAAAACTTATCCTTCCGAACCGGCTCTTTGATTTCGACTAAATCGGCAAGGTATGGAATATAAATTAAAGGTGAAATGACTGAACCTTGGGGTAATCCCCACTCGATGTAGAAAACGTCCGATTCCAAACCACCGAATGACACATAGGCTGAACGATCAGACAACCAACTCCTCAACCATAACCAAAGACGAGATGGAAGATGAAAACGTGCTAACTTAACAAGTAATGCTTTATGCCATACCTTATCGAATGCACTAACAAAATCAACAAACAGAATCAATCCTGGTCGATTTGTTGCAATACATTGTCGAGCTTCTTCATAGACGGATAGTACTCTGGTTTGCAAACGAATATTAGCTTGAAAGCCAGACTGTTGATGTGGAATAATCTTGTTTTCTTTGAGCCAAGTGTGATATTTTGGATGTAGCACCTTTTCATACACTTTTCCAATGGCATTTAATATTGAGATAGGACGTAGGTCGTTCTTCCTCGGATAAGCATTCGATTTTGTATTACAGAACATTCTGGCAATTTTAGCCCAGTTTGGAAATAAATTCTTTCCTAATAAACGATTAAATGAAATGACTAAAATGCCAGTAAATGAAATCGGTAACTGTATTAAAATAAAATTTGATTCCGTATTCAAATGATTGAATTAGCAAATCGAATGTTAAATCGAACAGATTTATCCCGACGTGTCGCACTCGATGTTCATTTTCAAGTAGTTCAATCAGCTATTAATACAATACTCATGAATATCAATTAATACGAGTGTTTTTTTTTTTTTGGTTATGAATTAACAAGGTTTGCAAATATTTTTACATACATATATATTTATATTTCTCTTGATAATAATATATACCCAAATCTTTTGAGATAAGAATCAATCTTGAACTCTGTAACGTGATGACAAATGAAAAAAACCATTGTAATACTTATTTTGCACAGCTTCTAGTCTTGAGCTGCTTTGTATTCCGATTATTATACGTGAGTTAAAGGAGTTCTGCGATAACTCTAACAGAAAATACTGCTTATCAAATATGTACTTCATTTCATCATACAGTTCACTTAAATGCATTCTTGAATTCAAATTCATTGACAAATACAAATAATCTTAATTGAATAATGAAACCAACATCATCATCAAATATATCTCAGTAAGGTTTTTATATAATTATTTGTCCTGTTCTTCTTCGAAAATATGAATCTGTTTGTAACTTATAAGTTAAAGTATTACAATAAGTCTAGATAATACAAGAAATTCGAATTTAGGACATTTTAGACATTATAAGCTGCTTAACATCATATCTACCAGAGTAGGGTTAGGATGCGAAAAAACCTTACCCTGCAGGACTCTACATATTGGTCGCATAAATGAAATGATGAGATAGATGAAAGAAAGTTTATCAGATGTTGATCAATATATGATGAATCTTTATAAAATTTTTCTAGAAGTTCTTCAAGAGTTTTCATGTATGATTCCATCATAATTTATACCGTGACTCACAAACAGCTTTTTCTATTTAATCAAGATATAGAGGCAAAATTTGTTAATAACAAATAGTTTCTTAAGGGCCCCCTTTCCTGGATACTTATGCAATTAAAATTTTTCTGAAAAACACAGCTTTGTAGAGCAAACGTTTCTGAGCAAAATAAGACCTCGCACAACTTTGTATGACCTTGTATCAAAAAGGTACAGGCATTTTCCTAGAAGTCCTAAAATCGAGCATTTCATACAGCGTTTTCACTATATAAGAGTTACACCTGAAGTGCGTCCCAAGATTTTTAATAGCAGTATGTCGTAGAGAGTTCATTCTTTTTTTGTTTGAAAGAGGAAAAGAAACTAAAACAAATGTGTACGATGCTTTTGGACTGAAATATGAAGCAAACAAGTAACAGAGAAAGCTTTAGCATTATTTGTTAAAACTCGCTGAGCAACTATTGATAATATTGGATAATTTGATTCTTTCTGTTTCCAAACATTCGATGAAAAAAGTTTTCAAAAAATTTTTCAAATAATTAAAATTTTTCCGCAAACTGAACAGCGATTCTACATGTCATATGTTCGCTTCGAACAGAGACGATCAAATCTAGAGTTGTATAATATTTGAGATGAGATAGTACTTGTTCTAAACACTTTAATAGCAAAGAGGCATTTCTTGTAATCCACGCAACGCACTTGAATGTACTTAGGATTGACCAAAAGTTTGTACAACGATGATGCTCGCTCCCCTCATGCCGTGATCAAAACATTTGGTCAGCTCTAAGCATATTCCGATAGCGCTTGAATTTCTCTATCGTCCTACATACTTGTCTACTGACCTGCATTTATCTATTGCAAAAATAACTTGAGTACAATGAAAATACCCTCAATTGACAAGTACGAAAATTCGCTACTTTTTATGCTTTTTCATATTATAGATACTATGGAAATAAATCTTTCTGAAAAAAAAAAAATTAAACATTCTGATAGAGCTTCAAATTCTCTATCATCCTGCATATTTTTGTTCTATCTTGCATTTCTGTGCTGAAGAATAATTTGACTATCATGCAGGCACGCATGTCAATTGAGGGTGTCTTCATTGTACTCAAGTTAGTTTTGCAATAGATAAATGTAAGACAGTAGACAAATATATAGGACGATAGAGAATTTCCAGCGCTATCAGAATATACTTAGAGTTGACCAAAAATTTTGATCACAGTGTGAGGAGGGGAGGGCGGAATCACCGTTCTACGAACTTTTGATCAACCCTAAGTACTTCGTGAAACTGCAGAAAAAAGAATCGAAATTTACGCGATTGTTTGCAAAGGTCTCACTTCAAAATAGTTCGTGTTCGTTGTTTCAGTGTAGACTTTCTAGATGCTTATGCGTCAAAAATGTGTCGTGATAAGGCATTACAGTTTGACGATAATAAATCGGGTACAAAAGCCGCATGGAGACGCGTGGCGGTCAAATACATCGAAATCGCGCAAATATTTTTGTCTTTTTTAAATATACATCTGCGAAATAAACTCTACTTTATGCGCGATTGCGCGCTCCTAACAGTCTTGCGTAGTAGAGAGCGCGTTTGTTACGCAGAAAACATATTCGTTTTCGCAGAAACGGCTAAAAAACGTGCGAAACCGTTCTACATAGGCAATATCATGTTTTATTGCACTTGGTAATCAAGTTGATAAAGAACTCTTTTAGTTTTCTATTCTAATGTCAGGAGGGAAGTAACTGTTCTGATCTGGTAGTAACTGTAACTGATCTGGCTGATAGTAGAAGATACAATACATGGCATCTGCTTTTGTATACTCTACCGTGGAAAACATGTAGGCTCAGGGAGATGATCCATATCTGTTCGCGAAGATCATGAGACTACTGGATGGATGCTATAATGGAATTAATAGTAAAATGAGATAATCATGTGAATGTTAGATATCTCAATCTTATTTCTCTAGAAGTCAAAGTATGAACAGTTTCAATCAAAGGAAGGTGCGGCAAAGTACAGTTTTGGCGATTGCGAGAGCATAATTCCCGAAAAATGCAACCCCATCCAACATAGCTATCGAATACACTAGACGAGTATTCCAATACCTGAATATTGTAGCACATTTTTCGACATGTTATTTACGACTGACTCAATTATTCTCACATACATCTCAGCTACTTCATTGATACTTTGAGATTTCAAAGTATCAATGCTTGTCATTTTGCTACAATCGTTTTTGGCAAATTTGTTTGGTATGTTTGTATTCACAAAACTTAAATAAAATATGTGCTCTGTTGATACATGTTCTAGATAGAGAAAAGTTTAAAGACGAATTTTCGCATCCAAAATATGCAACAATTGGTTTAAATCATCAAGAATTTATAAGCTGTTATCTAAGTAAACATTGAAAAAATGTTGGAAAAGTTTCATACTAGCGAGTATATGTTGTTCCACAACATTATGCATTTAGCTGTTTGTATTCAGGATAAAAAGGAGGTGATTCATGCAAATGTTTGTTCAAGGTTACAAGCAACGTTCATATTCGATTTTGGTTTTGCAAATACGGCAAAATGAATAAAAATAATTGTTTACTTTTCAATCCCATATCAACTTTTCGTTGATTCTAAATCTAGGACTGGAGAAAGCTGAATTTTGCATCTGTAGGAACAAAACTTTTCTCCGGATTTGCTGAAAAGAAGCGCAAGGAAAAAAGTTTCTATCAGTGGTTAAAAACAATCTAAATCTAACATACTTCACTAACACATCACGCAACACTTCCCCTTGATAGGAGCAAATCCCGAAAAAATGCAAGTTCCAACCAGTAAAACATGCAAAGCACCATCTACCTGAAGGGGAAATAACCTCCAATTTTGCTGCACACACTTCGAAGTGTCTCTCACTTTGAGTGACACTTCCTCACTTAAAGTAACACTTACGAGAGAATCTTTCGAGATGTCCCCTTCCGATTCCAATGATTTGTACATGGATCGATAGACCTCAGTAAGGTAGTAAATACCCTAAAAGATTCGCACCCATGACTTTTGAACACCCGTTTTTCTGGAAAATCGGTTTTTCAGAAACTCTAAAGAATAGCCAAAACCTCTTTTTAATGAGGCATGATTGTAGCGTGAAACTTTCTGATTAAAATGAGACATCTTCCAGGTCTACACGGCCTTTCTTTGCAAAGTTATAGAATTTTGTTAGGAAGTATAAACCAAATTTCATATCTGCAATGGTCATCTTTCAAATATACATGTTCTCTTCACTCGATGGTTATTTTCCCTTTCTGTTCTTTTGTTATATGTATTCACTATCCTGTTTTTCTATGATGTATTATTTTCTCTTTCTGTTCACTCTTTCCCATGGGTATTTTTCATTCCTATTCTTCTCTCTCTATAGCATTTAAACTGTTTTGAACAGGCTT